CTCCCTGTGACCACCTGACCTCGGAGGCCACAGGCACCTCTATCCTCCACTCTCCTGGCACAGAGTGGGATCGCTGGGAGGCATGGAGGGCCAGGGGTGGGGAGGGACAGCCACCCCTTCCCCACCACCTCGGAGACACCAGGTATCCATTCTACTCGTGATGGGATTTTGGGTTGTTTGCTGTTTTTGTCTATGAACAGGCTGCTGTGACCTTTAGCACATGCCTCCTGGGGACGTCTATCCACTCTGTTGTGCACACACCCAGGGATGGGCTGCTGGGTGCTGGGCGTTGACAGCTTCAGTAGATTCTGTCATCTTAGACTTCCGGCACTTCCACTGCCCTCTGTATTGACAACGGCATTACCCGTCTTACTTATTTCAGCCTGGCATAGTGATATTTTAGTGTTTCTTTGTTTTCTTTTGTTTTCAAAATCAACTTAAGGTATAAGTGGTGGAGTGCTAGAACTGGCTTGTACCGCCACGTGAGATCTGACCAAGCATACCCCTTCTTAGCTCTGTGCTGAGTGGTGACGCTTCGGTAGCTTGAAATCAGGCTCAGTGGGGGTATTTTGATCACAGAAAGTAAAAAACACTACAAATCAGGGCATTATCCAGAGTCAGTTGTAATTTACATAAAATAAAATGCACCTATTTTAAGTATACAGCTTGGTGGTTTTTGACAAATATCACCAAGGCACTTACCATGCAATAGAGATATAGAACATTTCCACTCCCTCCCCCCACCCTGCGCCACCCCCTCCAATTAATTATTCCCTTGTCCAGTCAGTTCCTCCCCAGCCTGGCCCCAGATAACCACTGACCTGTTTTCTGTCACTGTAGTTGAGACTGTCTCCCTCCCTAGAGTTCTGTATAAATAGAATCACATGGTGTGTATTCTTTTGTCTCTGGATTCGTTAGCTAAGCATGTTTTTGAGGTAGAACATGTATGTGTCAGTAATTTGATCTCTTATTGCTAAGGATTATCTGTTGTGTGGATACAACACATGGGATCATCTACTCCCTACTGATGCACTCTTGGGCTGTTTTGTTGTTTTGAGTCTCATGAATAAATTTGTGAATAACATTGCTTATAGATCTCTGTGCTTTCACTTCTCTTGAGTAGATACTGAGGAGAGGAATGGCTGGGTCGCATGGTAGTACAGGCTTAATCTTTTCAGAAATGCCAAACTTTTCCAAAGCACTATACCCTTTTATATTCTGACCAGTAGTGTATGACTTTCCCTCCTGTATTTTCTGATAATTTATATAGATGATATAATTTCTTCATTAAATGTTGGCTAGAACTCACCAATCAAGTCATCTTAGCCTAAAGTTTTCTTTGTGAGGTTTTAAATTATGAATTTATTTTTTAAATTGTTTTGGGGCTATTTGGATTTTCTCTCTTCATGAGTTTTGTAATTTGTCTTTCAAGGGTTTCTTTTTTCCATTTCAATTAGGATGTCAAATCCATTAGAATAAAATTTGCAATATTCTATTTTCCTTTCGGTGTCTATAGGATCTGTAGTAATGTCCCCTCCCCCCTTCTCGATATTGGTAATTTGTTTTTTCTCTCCTTCTTGCTTCATCATTGTAGCTAGAGGTTTATCCATTTTATAAATAAGGGTTCTAGTTTTATGCAAGGTCTTTGTTGGGAGTCCCCATGTCATCAGGAAAGGTGCCTCTTCCCTGCAGCCTGTTCTGGCTTTCAAAGTTTGTTTGTATTTTTTCCCAGCATTTCTACATAGCTGTAGCTAAAGCGTTTTTGTAGTAGATTAGCTCACCATGGTGAGATTTTTAAAGGGACAACTTCTAGGTTAGGAAAAAGATGAGAGATCCTAAGAGAGATGGTGGGCCTCAACCTGGATGCTAGCATAAGACAAGAAAAAGAGCTACAGGGGTAGGAAGGAAAGAAATAACGCTGTCTACTATTTGCATATAAACTATTTGAATTAGTAAACTTCAGCTTGTTTTGAGAAATGGGCCAATGATAGTCAAAGCAGTTTTGAGAAGTCGGGGCTGAGACCACCAGTTACCAGACTGATTATATCACGTAGCCATGGCTGTCCTTTCATTTGCTCTCATTTTCCTTGGCTAATTGCATATCTATGACCATCTTTCCTAGACCACCAGGTAAAAGAGAGCCCACATGTGGTTTTGTGCTGGCTCTGAATGCTTGCTTTCTATGCCGCTGGCTAATCACTGCCTTGTGTATTGGCCCTATGCACTCAGCAAAAAGGGATGAAACCATCTGCTTGCGCTCCGCGCCGCCCTCCCCCGCCCCCCTTTCCCGGGGTCCCACTACATTCTGGCAGGGTGAGGTTTCCCAGCCCCCAAGGCAGGGAGGTCCAAAGTCTCAGGACACTTAGGCTTTTTCAGGGGTTTTGTTCATTTGTCTTATTTTACAAACTGAGGTGAAGTTAACATAAATTAACCATTTTAATGTGAACAGTCAGCAGCATTTAGTATATCACAGTGTTGTACAATTATCACATCTAGTTCCAAAATATTTCATCACCTCCAAAGAAAACTGTGCACATTAGCGATCATTCCCTATTCTCCCCTCCCTCCAGCCTCTGGCAACTGCTAATTTTCTTTCCATGTCTATGAATTTACCTATTTTAGATATTTCATATAAATGGAGTCATATATTAGGTGACTTTTGTCTTGCTTCTTTTACCGAGCATGTTTTCAAGGTCTACCCATATTGTAACATGTGTCAATACTTTATTCCTTTTTGTGGCTGAATAATATTCTATTGTATGAATAGATCACATTCTATCCATAAAATAGAATTTATCCATTCATCTGTTGGTGGACATTTGGCTATTATGAATAATGCTGCTGGGAACATTGGCTTACAAGAACTGCTTGAGTCCGTTTTAAAATTTTTTTTGATATATACCCAGAAGTGGAATTGCTGGATCATACAGTAATTCTGTTTAACTTTTTGAGGAACTGCTAGATTGTTTTCCACAATGGCTACATCATTTTGCATTCTCACCTGCAATGTATGTCCTCACCAGAACTTGTTATTCCCTCAAAAAAAGATATTGCCATCCTGGTGGGTGTGAACTGGTACCTCATTGTGTTTTCATGTGCATTTCTCTAATGACTAAGGATGTTGAGCATCTTTTTATGTGCTTGCTGGCTATTTTTCTTGGAGAAATGCCTATTCAAGTCCTTTTGAACTGGGGTGTTTGTTTTTTTGTTGCTTGGTTTTAAGAGTTCCTTATATATTCTGGACACCAGACTCTTATCAGATATATGACTTGCAAATATTTTCTCCTATTCTGTTGGTTGTCTTTTCATTTTCTTTATAATGTCTTTAGATGTAAAAAAAGTTTTAAATTTTGATTAAGTCCGATTTTTCTTTTGTTGCTCCTGCCTTTGGCATTTTATCTAAGAATCCACTGCCAAATCCACGGTCATGAATATTACCTATGTTTTCTTCTAAGAGTTTTAATAGTTAGCTCTTATGTTTAGGTCTTTCATCCATTTTGAGATAATTTTTGAATACAGTGTGAGGTAAAGGCACAACTTGATTTAGTGTTTAGATCCATTTTTCTCAGCATTATTTGTAGAAAAGACTGTCCTTTCCCCCATTGAATTGTTTTGACATCTTTGTCAAAAATCATTTGACCATACGGGTAAAGGTTTATTTTTAGGCTCTCCATTCTATTCCATTGGTCTATATGTCCATCCTTATGCCAGTACCACACTGTTTTGATTACTGCAACTTTGTACTAAGTTTTTAAATCAGGAAGTGAATCCTTCAACTTTCTCCTTTTTTTATCAAAATTGTTTTCATTATTTGGGGCCCCTTGCAATTCCATATGAATCTGAAGACTGGCTGTTCCATTTCTATAAAAAAGGCCATTGGAATTTTGATAGAGATTTCATCGACTTTGTAGATCATTTTGAGTAGTACTGTCATCTTAACAATATCAAGCCTTCCAATCCATGAATACAGATGCCTTTCCATTTATTTAGGTCTTTAATTTCTTTCTGCAATGTTTCATCATTTTTGGTGTACAGGTCTTTCACCTTGGTTAGATTTATTCATAGGTATTTTATTCTTTTGGATGGTATTGTGAGTGGAATTGTTTTTAGTTTTTCAAATTGTTCATTGCTGATGTATAGAAACACTTTTTTTGTGTGTTGATCTTATACCCTGAAACTTTGCTGAATTAGTTTATTAGTTCCATAGTGTTTTTGTGGATCACTGGAATTTTCTATACAGATTGCATATACGATGGTCGACCTGTAAGTTTATAATGGAGCTGAAAAATTCCTATCACCTAGTGATGTAGTGCAACAGTACTCACGTGTCGTGGTGATGCTGGTGTAAAGGAACCTGTGCTGCCAGGTGCATAAAAATATAGCAGATACAATTATATACGGTACATAATACTTGAGAATAATAAATGATTATTTACTGGTTTATGTATTTAGTGTATTCTTTCTACTTATAAAAAGTTGGTCGTAAAACAATATGCTGTGTCACACTGGCAGCAGCTTCATATATCTTATGTTTATCACACTTCTTTCTTGCATCATTTTCTCTCGTGCTTGACTTAATCCCTGGTTGTTCTGTAAAACAACATGCTGTACAGGCTTGTGGCCCAGGAGCAGTAGGCTACACCATAGAGCCCAGGTGTGTGTACTAGGCTGTACCATCTAGGTTTGTGTAAGTGCACTCTGTCACGTCCACACAATGACAAAATTGCCAGATGACTCATTTCTCAGAAAGTATCCCTGTTGTTACGTAGTGCATGACTGTACATAGGATCATGTCATCTGTGAATAGAAATAGTTTTACTTCTGATGAATAGCAGTGATGGAAGTCGGCATCCTTGTTCCTGATCTCAGGGGAAGTCTTTCAGTCTTTCACCATTGTGATGTTAGCTATGGATTTTCACAAGTGCCTTTCCCCCCGCCCCTTTAATTCCCCACGCCCTACTTCCACCCCTGACCTATGGATGTTGCCGTTTTTCCCCCTTAAGAACTGGATCTCTGAGGGCAGGGCGTCTCCTTCCACATGCTCGTGGCTTGTACGCGGGGCTTGGCACCCCCACCCCTCCCACACACTCGGCGGGGGTTGGGGGGGTGGGGAGGCCTGGTGCACTGGGGTATGGTCTATGGCTTCACCTGGGGCGCAAACCCAGGATTTTCTGTGTGTAAAGCAGATGTGCTAACCACTATACTATGGTGCCACTCCCACAAATGCCTTCTTATGTTGAGGAAATTCCCTTCTAGTCCCAGTTTTTTTTTTAAATCATGAAAGGGTGTTAGATTTTTGTCAAATGCCTTTTCTGCATCAGGTGACATGATCAGCTGGTGTCCTCCCCCTCCCCCCACATTCTGTTTATGTGATGTATTGTACTGATTTTATGTTGAACCATTCTGACATTCCTGGGATAAATCCCACTTGGTCATGGTGTATATTCCCTTTAATATGCTGTTAGATTTGTTTTGCTAGTATTTTGCATCTGTATTCATTAAAGATATTGGTACCTTTGTTTAAATTTGTCAGAGTAATACAGGCCTCATAGTATGAGTTAGTATTCCCCCTCCTCCATGTTTTTGGAAGAGTTTGGGAAGGATTGATATTAATGCTTTAAATTCTTGGTAGAATTCAGTAATGAATCTATCTGGTCCAGTATTTTTCTCTGTTGGGAGGTTTTTGATTACTTATTCAATCTCTACCTGTTATAGATCCTTTCAAATTTTCTATTTTTTCTGAGTCATTCTTAGCAGTTTGTGTCTGTCCATTTCCTGTAGGCATACAGTTGCTCACAGTACTCTGTTACATCCTTTTTTATTTCTGTAAGATCAGTAGGAATGCCCCCATTTCCTTTCTTGAATTATTTGTGTCTTCTCTTTGTCAGCCATGCTAAAAGTTTCTCAATTTTGCTGATTACTTTAGTAGTTTTAAAGGTCAATTTGCTGATATGTTGAGTTCCATCTTACTTAATGGCTTTGGAATTGTCCCTCAGGATGGATGTCTCTCTGAACAAGGTTGAGAGGAGTATGTGCTTGGCCTTAGAAGGTGCCAAAAATGCACTTAATCATCTTTAAGTGAGTGGAAAAAACCTCTCAGCACAGAAGATGCCAAGAGCCCCTTATGTTTGGTGAAGGCTTGCACACAGCCTGTCTTATGTGCGATGAGCTGTGCCCCTCGCCTGGTTGCTGGGGCAAGAAGGGAAGCAGAGTGTGAGTCCTCCCTGGAGACAGGCCCCTGGCTGAGCTTGCTGCTCTGGATGGAGCCAACAGCCAGGCCCAGTGGGTTGTCCGAGCACAGCCACCGCCCAGTGGACAGTGCCTGGGTGTCTAGAGTCCCAAGTCCCTGGGAACAAGCAGTGGTACAGGTGGTCTTTCCATTCCAGGTATTTTCCAGTGGAGCATGACCTCTTGGCTCCAACTCTGCAGGTCAAGCGTAGGGCTGGCTCATCAAGGTGTGGCCCCCAAGGTGGAGAGTTGGGGTCACCTCAATGTCTCCTGGTGGCAGTGTGTGATAGGGCAGAGGTCTCGTATGCCTGGGCAACCCCTAGACTAAGAAACTTTCCAGAATGTGGCATGGCCTCAGGGACAAGCTCAGCAGCTTTAGAGGGTCCTGCCTAGGACCTGGGTATAATGGTGGCTTGGGCATCCAGACATGTGACAGCCATGGGGGCATAATGCTCTGCATGGGAAGAAGCCCCCAGGGGGTGTGGACTCAGCAGAGAGCAGGTGGAATAGGAATGCGTTAATTCTCAGCTCCTTGCATGCCAGGTGCCTGTCATCCCCTGATTATCCCCCCTTGGGGTTGGTTCCTTCCCAGGGTCAGGTCCCACCCCGAGAGCAGGGCCTCTGTCCTGTTGTCTGAGACAACCCCTGCTGCCCCTCCCAAGGATCCTGGACTTACTCTTAGGTTTTAGCAGTTGAATGTAGCAGCTCTGGCATGTTCATGTGAGTATGATGTACATTCAGTTTCCAACAGATGCCTGTGCTTCCTATCAAGTAGGGCGGAGAGCCCTCACCCATGGGCCCCAGATGGATGATTCAGGAGGAGAGCAAGGGAGGAAGAACAGGCCCCCATTCACTCACACTCAGCTGTCTGGAGGGAAGGTGAGCAAATGCCTCCTCCTCATGTCCCTGAACCTCCCTCCCCTCTGCAAGTTTCTCTTAGGCTGCCCAACAAACAACAGATTCTAATGAGGCTGGAGAGAGGGCAGTGTCAGGCAGAGCAGATGTGAGTAGTGTTAAGGTCCTTCTCTGTCATCACGTAGGCAGTTTATCCTGCAGACCTGTATTGGGTGCCACTTGGCACTGGGGGCCAGGCTGAGCTCCCCAGTAGCCCGGAACATGACCAGGAACAACCCGGGGCCCAGTGAAGGCAGGGCAAGATGGCCCTGAGGGGCATGGGCACTGAGGCCTGACAAGCTGGTGGGTATGAAGTATGGAGAGGATGTAGGGTGTGGCTGGGGTGATGGGCAGTGACCCCCAGGTTCATGCTCAGGGAGGCACAGCCATAGGAGTACTCTGAGTAGAGGAAAGGTGTAGTCTGACTCTCTCTGACAGGAAAGTGTGGCCTCAGCACAGGCTCCAAAGTGTGGCCTCAGCACAGGCTTCTGGTGGATGGTGGGTGTCAGAGGTCACTCAAGCTTCTGGAAGTATGAGGGGCTGTGGGAGGAGCAGGTCTGATGAGACTTCCTGTGTCAGAGGGCAAGGCCTCACTCTGACCACTATGCCCTCACAACCTGTACTTGGGGTCATCTGTGATGTCCCCAGGTGAGTGGATATTTGTCCTGTAACAGGATGGGTGTGGGGCTGCCTCATTCCTGAGGTGCCCCTGATCCAAGGGGACTCAGTGTCATCCTGCCCCTGGCCTAAACATCACCTGTGGTGAGTATCTTAGGGGGTTACAGACGCTTGCGGGGTATGGCCAGATGGAGCTCAGAGAGGAGCCCACAGTCAGGGGAGCTGGGTCCCAGGGGTCTCCCCTGCCCGGCCTTAGGTGGCAGTGAGCCCAGAGGTGGGTGAGAAGGGCTGGGGGTGTGTGGGGACCCACCATGGCTCCTGGAAGAGAGGCCACCCACAGTTCTGGGTGGGAGGTAGGAACGCCACCTGGAGTCAAGGCCCAGGGTCTCCTCAGGCTCCCAGGTGCCCCCACTAATCGGCAGAGCCCCCAGGACGGCCCCCTAGGAAGGGCTGCCCAGGCACAGCAGCCGGCGGTTGGCTGCCATGGGCAGACTTGCTGGCTCCAGGCTCCCTGTCTGAGGCCCCGTCTGTCCCATCACAGACACAGGGAGCCTGTTTCCCTGTGAGCGGGAACACGGCCTCTCTGTTGGCACCTGGGCTCACCCCCCAGGCGAGTGGGGGACGCTCTACACAGACCCGCACTTGTGCCCACCTCATCCTGGCCTCCTGGCCTGAACCACCTTGTTCCCACTGGGACCCTCCGCAGTGCGGCAAGGCAGCCTGGACAGTTGGGGGTGGGGGCGGGAGGAAGGAGTGGGTGGCCACTCTAGCTGGTGCCGGCCAACCCAGGGGAGAAGGGAGGACCCCCTGGCCTGCTGCCTCCTGGGTAGGGCCAGTTCCAAGGCCCCCAAGACCCCTTGATCTGGCTGACCAGGACTGGGGCTATGCCACTTAGTACTTAGCTGTTTGTCTGGAGGGACACCACTGGTCCACTCACAGCTCGTATTAGGTAGTAAAGATTCTGGGCTGTACCCCAGATCTCATTGCAGTGGGGCCCCAGGATTGCCAAGCAAAAAACAATTCAGTATAACTTCTGACAACTGGGCTTCAGAATCACCATCACAGGGACCCCTGCCACCCTAGCACCCAGGCTGGAGCTAAGCACACTGCCATCCCCCTCCCCAGCAGCTCGGAGAGCAGGAGGCTCCATGGTGTGCGCTTAGGGGAATGTGGTCACAAAGGAGCAAGAGGCACCGCCTTGCTCAGGGCCCTTTGGGTGGACAAAGGGCTTCTGTCCATGCCTGTGGATGCTGGTCACTGGAGAAGAATGCAGGGCCCAGGCCAGGCCAGAGGGGCTCTGAGGAGGGGGCGGGCATGAGGGGGAGGACTGGAAGCCTTGGCTTCTCCTCCTCTCAGTCTATCTGGGTGTGGTGGCGGAGCCACCCCTGGGGGTGCAGAGGCGAGGAGTAAAGGTTTCCTCACAGCCACACCAGGCACACATTGGGGGCTCGGCTGCTGGGGGTGTGGGCCTGGCTGTGGACTAGCACCCCAGGTGCCAAGGACCCTGAGTGGTCCTCAGGCCAAGAATGGCCAATGGGAGGAGCAGTGAGTGCTGGTGGTCCTGGACCAACCAGAGCTGGGGTTTCCCTTGGGACACTGGTGTCTGAGGGGCCTGGTGATGAGGGAGATGACTGGGGGTGGAGTGGCTTTGTGGGTTGCCTGGAGACCAGTTGTGAGAGATGGCCAACCAGGATCCCAGCAGACCCCCAACAGGCCCCCTCTCTTCTCCGGTCTTGCTTTCCTGGACGTCTAGGTGTGGGCAGTGGTGCTGGTGTGCCAAGGTCTTCCCATTTTATTTCTTGGTGCACAGGCCTTGGGCTCTCTATTCCAGTTCTGGGTACGGCCACTCCCGTGACCGAAAGTAGCCCTTCAAGTCCCGGAGGCTGAGTGGAGGGAAGTAGGGGCCGATTCTCTTCCGGATCCACCACTTTCCATCGGCAGCGTGAGGGCCCCCAGGGCGGCTGAATTTGTACCTGTAGTGCTCTCCCCTGACCCACCTGCAGGGAGGGTGGGCATCAGCCTGCAGCCTTTGTCCAGGGCAGTGGCCTGTGCTTGCTGACACGCAGCTTCTCAGGGGAGCCTGGGGTTCAGGCTCTGGGTCTGCACTGAGGGGCTGTGTATCCACCTAGGTGCTCTTTGCCGGGGTAAGGTTGCTCCAGAGGGGCCTATGAGGAACCCCATCAACCAGGTCCCAGAGCAGATGACTTGGGGCAGGTAGGGCTCTGGAGAAGGAGACTCCGTGGCGTCTAGCCCCACTGAAGGCCGAGTGCTCAGCCGCAAGCATCTGGAGCCCACCGGGGCTGGAGGGCAGGACAAGCTGTCCTTCCTCAGGAGCCCGTTTCCCTTCATCAGGTGAGCAGTGCAGCCCTCTGTACCCGGCACGCTTCCAGGGTTCGGGGGCCCAGCCCTCAGAGCACATTCTGGGAGGGGTCTTACCTTGGGGGGGCCCTGTCTGCGAAGGGGTTGAGGGCCAGGAGGGACAGGGCCTTGGCGTCGTTGGCCAGGAGCTTGCCTGCCAGGTGGATGACCCATTCGTGTTGCTCATAGGTCTGGGGGCAAGAACAGGAGGGGTGCTAGGAATAGCGGGGCTGCTTGGGTACTTGGAGAGCAACTGGAGCCCAATGGTGGGCTGGAACTGTGGGGGTGTGGCCCGCAGGAGCCCCTGGGGGTGGGTGTGCTCCCTGCTTGCTTCCTCCCTCCAGAGGCCCTGCCTGGTCACTCCCTACATCAGTCTGTTGTCCTGGGCATTTCTGCCTGAGCGTGGTCAGTGGTTGGCCTCTCTTGGACGGTGGGTTGCCCTGGGGTTTGCGTTCCCCTTCAGAGGGGCTACTGGCTTTTGTTTTCACCTGTTGGCCAGACATTTGTAAACTGTTCATTCATGTGCTGGCTCCCCGCACTGCTGACCTGTCCTTGGGTAACTCGGATGCAGTAGGCAAGGGGATGTGTTGTGCCAGCTCACCTCTTGGCTTTGTCACCTGCCAGCCCTGGGCTCTCGGGCAAGTGATGGAGCCTTCCTGAGGCTGTCCCTATGGATGAGGTGGGTCAGCGGGAGGACAAGGAGCCTCCAGCCTTCCTCTGGCCTGAGCAAACACTCTGTGGACATCAGCTGCCCTGGTGTTGCCCATGCCTATCTTGTCATTTTTGGTGCGGGTGCTTTGAGAAGCTGGCTGTGGCATCTTGGTCCTCGGCCCCCATAGATCCTTGTGTGAGGGTGTCTGAGGGAGGCCCCTGGGATGCAGCAGGGGTCTGAGCAACATGGGGAACCCCTGTTGTCCAGAGTCTATGTGTGTGGTGGACACACAGGAAGGAAGCCTGGCCTTAGACCATAGCACAGTCAGATGCTCGCCTGGGCCCAGGCTGCTCCAGGAGGAAGACCCAGACCCTGGGATGGTGGGAACCTGGGAGAGTGTAGTCATACGCTGTTGCCTGGCCTCAGATCCTGGGCCTTGGCTGGCATGTCCTCAGTGGCTGAGCAGTGAGTTCCGCCTTGAGGGCTGGTGCCAGGAGCATAGGAAACTGCTCCACAGTTGACACCCCAACACCCGGAGTCCTTAACCTGACCTCCCAAGTCTGCAAGGGCCCAGGTGGGTTAGGTAAGTTTGGTTAGAGTGGGGGCTGCATGGGTGCCCATGTCTGAGTGTCATGTGGGCTGACATCATTTCCAGTGGGGTCCGATCTCACACCCACCTGCCTCCACAATCAGCCCTGAGGCAGGTGTTTCTGGGGCCCCAGCTGTCTCCACTGAAGGCACCACAGCTTTGTGTCTAACATGAGCATCTGGCCATGTAGGGTGAGGAAGGTAGTGGGCAGCGGGCAGGGGGAGGAGAGTGCCCTTACCTGGAAGGCTGCAAACCACATGAGCCAGTCAAGGCGGTAGTGGTAGGGGGAGATAAGGCATGGCCGTCTCCTCAGGTCACCTGGCTTGCACTTGAACTCGTAGTCCTCCCACACAGCATCGGGTGCGCTGGCGTTGGGGCTGGCTGTGCCCTGGAGGATGACCTCTGTGCGCTCCCTGGTGATGCTGTTGGGGAGACCGAGTCAGGGTGGGCTGGGCTTCCAGCACCTGCAGACAGTGCCTGTGCCTCTCCACCTGGCTCCATCCTGAGCAGACCAGGGCAAGGCTAGAGCTGCGAATGCAGGTGGAGAAGGAGCAGGTGGAGGCCAGCCTCTCCCTCCACCTATTCCCCCATGGGGTCATGGTGGCCCCAGGGGGACAGAAGGCACACCTGTTCTGGACCAAGAGTGCCTGCCTGGCTGGTCAGGGCTGGGTCTCCCTCAGGTATCCGTGTGACTACGTGGTGGGCAAGGAGAGGACAGACCACATCTGGGCCAGAAAGGTGGCTGAAACGGGAACCCCAGCTACGTGAGGTACCTTCCAAAGGCTCCATATGTGTTGACAATTCGGAGGGGGCTGAAGGAGGTATTCATGACCTGCTTGGGGCTCAGCAAGTTGAGGACCACGGGGATGCTGAGCCAGGCGACCAGGACTCCTAGTGCCAGGTTGACTGTCTGCCGTACCATGCAGCCTGGGCCTGGAGAGGGAGAGACAGCGGGTAAGCTTCTGCCCCCGAGGCCTGGTCCCAGACCACAGAGAAGAGCTGAGGCCATCCCCAGTTCCTCAGCCAGCCCCCCAAATCCTGGCCTCTGGCTGGCCCCTCTGGGCTCACAGAAGCCGAGGGAGGTACCTTCCCGACCTAGGAGGGGGCCTTTCTCTACAGCTTCCTTCTCCCCGACCCAAGAACATCTTTCAAGGATGATGTGGAAACTGAGTCACAACAGCTGCCCTTGTGGGGTGGGTCTGGCTGTCACTTGCTAAAAATAGGTCAGCACCTTGTGAGTCAGCCTTCTTGGGTCTTGGGGTAAAGGCCTTCTGTCCATGCCTGCAGGTGTCTACCCACCGTATCTCATTGTGGGCCAGACCCCTTGAGCTTTCTCCTTCTGCATTTTCAGGACTTGGTTCTTGAGGCTGCCAGGCCCAGAAGGAAATAAGAACCCCAAGGTGGCGTCATCGAAGCAGGCAACACTGGGTATGATGGTCAGCCAGTTCAGGAAGCTCAGATTCCCACTGATGATAAGGACCACCTAAGGGATGGAGCAGCGCCTCAGACCCAGGCTGAGTAGAGACCAAGGACAGCTGCCTGTGCAGACTCTGCCCAGCACTTGGGGTGCTCTATGGGTGGCAGCCCGGCCATCCCCTCCAGCTGCCCACATTTCACCTGCTCCACCAGGACCCAGCAACTCTGCAGCGATGCATGGATTCCATATCCAGAGGCTCTGAGGCCAAGGGTTTCTAGTTTCTTCCCAGAAGCACATGTGGGTACCTGTGCTGATTCCCAAGGGACCAGGGTGGCAGGAGGCCATGGTCCAGGCCCTGTTTCTCCTCACAGGCCACACACCTGGCCTCCCTCAGACCTGCTACCAAAATGTCCATGCCTTGAACGATCTTGGAGGTGAATTCTCCCCAGGGCCTCCAGCGAGGGCCCAGCTTGCCGACACCTTGATTTTAGCCTCTGAGACTCTACTTGAGGCCACAGTCAAGGCCACCCAGATTTCTGACCTACAGAACTGTGAGATAACAAATTTGTGTTGTTTGATGCTGTGGTTTGGGGCAGTTGTTATGGTGATTGTTAATCAATACAGGGCCTGGGTAGCTTCAGGAATAATGGGCCCCTTGAACCTTGAAGTATGTGCCCTTCCCTAGGGAGGGGACTCTGCCACCAGAAGTGGGAGTATCTGGAGTCTCATGGTCCCTGGATATCCAGGACTGTGCCCTGGTCAAGCAAGAGGTGGGTGAGGCTTTGCTGCTCTCCTGATCAGGGTTGGGGAAGGCTGTGGTGCGTGCACCATCTGCCGCCCTGTCCTCTATGCCTGAGTGACCATGCACGAGGCTGCTCCTGGGCCTGGGCATCTGCTGGGAGGGCGTGGCAGGATCCTGGCAGCCTGTGACCCACCCTTGGACACAGCTTAGATGGAGCCCATCTTCCTGAACTTCCACAGCAGCCACGAGGACAGGGCCAGTCCAGGGCTGTCTGTGGGGCGGCTGTCTGAGAGGCTGGTCACTGCCCTTCCTCAGAGGCCTCAAGCTGCCCAGCTGCTACTGCTGCAGGGTCTGGGGTGGGCCTGTATGATGTAGGGTTAAAGAAGCTCATGTGAGAAACTCACAGGCCTAAAAAATCCCACCGAAAATGGTGACCGGGGAGGGAAGGCTGCCTTGTCCCCTGGACCCGCTGGGCTCACCTCTGCAGCCTCAGTGCTAACTCAGTGATCTACAGACACTTTCCAATCAGAATCACCTGCAAAGGGACTGAGTCTCTAGGCTGTAGGAACTAAACTTCTGAATGGACGAGGTGCTGACAGCATGAGGATTTCCCACACACCCAGCCTGTCATAGGACTGCGTCCTGGAGCCACGTCCCAACCAGAATTTCTGGACAGTGCCTTCTCGCAACTGTACAATTTGTAAGTTGTTTTAGTGACTTAAAAATAACACCTTTGGCCTGATTATGCCCTGTTGTTGGGTGGTGGGTAATGGGGAGTCTTCACTTGAAGGGAGGCTGCTTGGTCTACGCCCTGCCCATGTACCCTAGACAGAGGCCTGCAGTTGCCAAGCCCTCAGGGACCAACAGAGCCTGCTGAGCACAGAGCTTCCTGAGTGAGGAGGACTCCAAAGGACCAGAGCAGGGATCGGCTGGGAGGTGGGGAGGCCTCGGACCTCTGTGTTATGGTGTAACCCCTCACCTCTGGAAAGCCCAGATTGCAAGGGTGGTGGCTCCCGTAAGAGCAGATCTGCCACTATGGTGGCAGGAGGCCCTAGCCCACCAGGGATGCCCCCAGCCCAGGCTGATGCCCCAGTAATAATGAGCTCATGGACGATCAATGGGCATCCTCAAAATGCAGGGTCACAGGACATGGACAGTGACAACAGAGGGTGACGGAGGAGTGACACGACCACAGTGAACATTCTCACAGCGGAAACACAGGATGCTGGAGACGTGGCAGGAATGGGAGACAGGAATCAATGTGACATGGATATGGGAAGTCTTCATTCTTACTTTTTAAGTCAGTTTTATTGATACAATGATAAAATGCACTCATTTTTACCGTATATATAGTTCAATGGCTTTTCACATATTTACTCTTGTGTAAATCACCACAAAATCTAGAACTTCTGCCCCCAGAAAGTTCCTTGATGCCTGTTTGTGTCAACCCCATACCCCACTCTGTAACCTCTGAACTGACTTCTGTTATGCCCTGTTGTTTTGCCTGTTCCAACACTTGGTGTCAGCTCCCCTGGCTCAGCTCCACAGCTCCACAGATTCTGAGACCTGCGCTCTTGGGCCTCAGGGCATCTCACACCCTGCGGAGGGACACATGTGAGCATCTACCTGTCCCCTGGTGAGTACTGGGTGTGCCCAGGTCTTGGCTACCATGAGTCAAGTTTCCATGAATATATACCCACAGGAATTGACTAGTTTGGGGTCATGTGATAGTGGTACACTGACTTTTAAAGGAACAGCCATTTGCCAAGTGGTGGTCTGGGTGCCTCAGCCCTATGTCCAGGACTGAGAAGCTCACTGATCTTACCTGTCCTTCCCTGTCAGCAGCGACCTTGAGGGTCTTTTCCTGTGCTTGCTGGACTTCACACATTCTCTGGGAAGCATTTGTTCAACTTTTTTTCCCATCAAAAAAACAATTGGCTAATACCTTGGGTTGTAAGTCCTTTGTTAGATATACATATATGGCAATTATTTTCTGCCAGCTGGTGGCCTGCCTTTTCAGTTTTGTTTATGTTATCTTTGGAAGAGGTGAAGTTTTACATTTTCATGAAGTCTAAGTTACCAATATTTAAAAACTTTACAACTAGAGCTTTTGTGTCCCCTCTAAGAAATCTTTGCTTAACCTAACATTATAAAGATCTTCTAAGACAGCAATCCCCAACCTTTTTGGTACTAGGGACTGGTGCTCCTATGAGAATCTAATGCCTGATGATCTGAGGTGGAGCGGAGGCAGTGATGCTGACGCTGGGGAGCAGCTGCAAATGTAGATGAAGCTTTGCTCTCTCACGCGCCTCTCACCTTCTGCTGTGTGGCCTGGTTCCTAATAGGCCACAGACTGGTACAGGTGTGTGGTCTGGGGGTTGGTGACTCTGCTCTAAGAGATTTGTAGGTCTATTTGTGATGTCCAGTTCTTTGATTCATTCAAGTTAGTTTTCTACATGCGATGTGAGTTGAGTTTCAGAACTCCTCTCCTTTGCAGACTCCGTGTGGAATCAAGCCAGCCGGCTCCCTCTCAGGCCCAGGACCCAGCCCGGTAGAGGAAGGCGTGAGGGTGAGCGGGGCCAGGACTCAGTGCGAGTCCCGGAAAGGGCGGGAGGTGGCCATGCCTGCCAGGATTAGTGGAGGAGCAGGAGCCGGGGATGACCAGGCTGCGAGGGGAATGAAGTGAGGGTGGGCAGGTCTGTGGTGGGCACAGTTACAGTGTTTGCAGGGAGGTGAGCTGCCTCAAACCTGGGCCTCGGGAAAGAGAAAACGCGCCTGGAGCCAGAGGAGGCGCCGCAGTCAGCGACCCACACGCACTGAGGGAAAGACAGACCAAGAGGACCCCGAGAGGCAGAACACAGGCAAGTGCCACGTGAGAAGAACAGCCAGATGAACGCGCTTTAGGAGGGACTTTGGGAAAAAGATGAAAGAAGCAAATAAAACGCACAATGAAAATGGTAAAATCGCCAAAGAAACAAGAAACATAAAAAGAGAATTTCATGAAGTTCAACATGTAACTATATCTAACCAAATGGGCACATTTCTGAAAGAAAAGATGGTAACAAGCCAATTGTCACTAAAGGGCAGAGCCGCCCTCTCCCTGTCCAGGTGACTTGACAGGTGTCATCTTACAGGTTCCGGAGAGCAGATGGCCTGGTCTGGTGCTGCTGTTTCAGAAAAGTGTGGAGAGAGGGAGTGTGACAGCTGATGAGGCATTGAGTAGGGAGGTGAGATGACAGACACAGGGATGAGGGGCCGCCCCACCTCCACCCAGGGCACGTCTTCGTGGACACCAGGCATGACACGTCATCTCCGCGTGGCCCAGCCTCGAGTTGCCTCACCTCTTCTCTGAGGCTGAGCAAAACTTGGCTGATGCCACAGTCCTTCAGTTTCTGAATTTTAATTAAGCTGCTCTTGATCCTGGCCTAACGAGGGTCTGAGGGAGGAGCCAGGCTTTCGATGGGTCTTGTCAGTTTTATGGATCACGACAGAGTTTTATGATGTGTGACAGGAGAGATTGTGGATTCACGGCTCTCCCTGGATTAATTTGGAAAACTAGTTTTCCTGGCTGTGAGCCCAAAAATAATTATTTCTTATTCTTCTCTGTCTATGATGTTAACAAACCCTTGTGCCAAAAAACGGCCCAGCCTGCGCCCGCCCTGGGCCGGTGGTCTCTCCCACCAGCTCCACTCAACTGTCGGGCTGCCCAGGCCTCAGGTCTGAGCTGACGTGACTGCTCTGCGCAGACGGGCTTCTTCCTGAAGTCTGCTGAGTGCCACTGGCTCCTGACGGCCTGCGGAATGAATGCCTATCCTGTGGCTGTTGCAGGAACTATGGTGCTGACAGGCGGGGAGGCTCAGAGCGCCCCCCTGAGGCCTCCCACCCCAGCCCTTATTCCACCATGGGGCCGGGCCCTTCAGTGGCGGATGCCCAGAGTCCTGTGGCTGCTCCAGCCTCCTTCACACCCCTTTGTAGTTGGCCTGGGCCAAGCCCGACAGCATTCCTGGGCCAGCATCCCTCTCACTCTCCCTCCTCCTGTGGTCTGACCTCCAGTTTTTGTCTCTGCAGACCTCCGTGCCCACTCATTTCCTCAGTCTCCTAGCTGTGTCAGCAACTTGCAGGGACAATGTCACAGAAGCTCGGCTGCTCTCTCTATGCCCCTTCCTGGGATTTTGGCTATTCACGTTCTGGTTGCCTGGTGGCTCTGCACCTGTTGGTAAATGCCTCACACTGTATCTGGCATGGCTCAGTGGATGGCTGGGACACTGCATCGGGAGTCTCCCTCTCTGTGGCTCTGCCATGTGGCTAAGGCCTGCCGTGTAGTGGAGATCAGGACAAGGATGAGCCACTCCTCTGTGGGGCTGCTGTCTGGGACCTAGAGGTAACAGACCACCTCCGATCCTCCACTGCCTAGTTCACAGCTGAGATGACTGCCAAAGCTGCGGAGGTCCAAGCACATGGCAGTCCTCCCACTGGAAATGCCGCCGGCCCTCAGGGCTCCAGTGAAGACGCAGCAAGAGTGGGATGGAGGGACAAGCAGCTCCTGCGCACATTCCCCACAGACCTCAGGGAGGCATGGTTCCAGAAGCTCCCCTCTGGCCTAGCGAGGACACTCTCCTTGTGTGCCAAGAGGATGAAAGGGGCACAGGACACATGGAGAACAACCTGCTTGACCTCACGCCTGCCCCTCAGGGCTGGTCCACACCCGGGTCCTGCAGGTAACCGATGGGTACCAGGCAGCTGCCCTCTCCTACCACTCTCCACCTGAAGGGATCCTCTTGCTCTGTGAGGCCCTATCCTCTGCTGGCCTCTGGGAGAAGTGCCAGCACCCACCTCTACCCCTGAGAGATCTGCCTGGGTCACACACTCACTCCATCAACTCTTGTACCACTAGATGACACAGCCACTGGTACCTGCAAGACTGAGCAAGGCAGCCTGGTGGCTTACTGGGGGTGCCGACTTGCCCAGAGAGTCTACCTGTGACAGGCCTGCTTGACTACCTTGTCCAGGTTCAGTCCGATCTGCACATGCACCGAGGCACAGTCTCACCTTCTGGCCACTCGCGGCTCTCTGAGACCCTAGAAGGCCTGGTGCAGGGAGAGGCACCCAGAGAAACCTGGGCTAATTTGAAAGGATCCCGATCAGTAAAGGACATTTATTCATCTGCGTCCTCATGTAACAAGGAACACAATAGGAAAAATTGTAACAAGTGAAAAGCAGAATGCAGACTGCTGAAATCTGAGTTAGTGGTTTAGAAAACTGACTTGAGAAATCCTGCCTGAATGTGGTACAGAAAAGGGAGAACTGATGAGGGAAATGATACAGATTCAGTAAAGTCAATGGCTTCACGATCAACTCTCCAGGAAAAGAATGATACAAAAAGAACTGAAACTGATGAAGCGAAAGCAGCCCTGGGCCTCAGAGGAAAGGGTCCAGGACAGATTGTAGGAGCGAGATGCAGCCCACGTGTATCCTGGTGGTTTCTCATTTCCAAGGATGAATGAGAAGTAAAAACAGTATAAGCATTTAGATTGAAAATGTAAAAAATGAGAAAAAAAAAAAGCGAGGGCAAGGTGGTCCAAGAAGTGACGAGCCCATCGTCTAAAAACTGGAATTCAACGTGTGGGTGGCAGTGTTTGCCAAGCTCTGAGAGGACCCTCATCCTGTTCTGAGTCCGTGCAGACGTGGGTTCTTGGTGAGGGCCAGGAAAGGCTTTTCACACACGATCGCCCACTCAACTCCTGTGAACAAAGTCAGGCTGGGCATCTGTGTGGTCACAGGATTTCTTGGCGGCAGTGGGAATGTTTAAAAGGATAATCAGGACACAGTCGCTGGGTCTGGCTCCTGACTGAGAACTGACCTGAACAACGTAGCTTGGTGTCCGCCCCATGTTCCATTCTTTAAATACCCATCACTGAGGACGTGTCTACCCTGGCACCCTCGCCAGTACCTCCATCCTGCCTGCTTCCCTGAAAACACTTGGGATCGTACTCCCAGATATTCACTTCCTTCCACTGTGAGGAGCAGAGCTGGTGAGAGGAGGACTCAGGGTGTCACAGGATTGTACACGGGAGTGGCAGCCGTGCATATCACCTCCGCCCTCCTTTACCCGCAGAAGCAAGGCCCAAGCCCACGCCATCCTATCCTGCCTCCTAGCTCTGACTTCACATTCCAGGGATGATGGTTTTCAAGGTTAAGACTCCACCAGTGACTTCTGCCTCAGGACAAGAGGGAGGAAGTGGTGCTGGAAACTCCACTGCCAACACAAACAACTGGATTTTGAACAAAACAGATGAAACAACTGTTGTATGACATGTGGCTACAGGCACTGCAGGACTCTTGACTCAGAGAGGAGAGCAGCAAACAGAGTTGTGACAACCTTGGACTCTGCGTGGAGGTGTTTAGCAGACCTACACAGGGAGGGAGTCCCAGGAGGGCAGAGCCTGAAGTTAGGCAGGTTGAGGGGCTGACTCCACACAGAAGGACGCACACAGGAGCTGCAGGACTCTGCCTTGGTCCCTGCGAGTCTGCCAATCACTGTGCTCACAGGCACGCAGAAGCCTCCATGAGGCCAGGGAGAGAGGATGACCAGTAGTCCAGGTAGTCAGCACAGCTCATGCAGGTTTAGGAGGCTTGAGTTCTGATGAACTCATGTGGAGAGACCTTATGGGAAGCCAGGCATGCAGCAGAGACCCCAGCAATGCATCCTATAAGCAAGGCTGGATGAGCCACAGCGAAGGCTGTTTTAGACCCGCCCAGGAGATGTGAAGACAGATGTCAAGATGATGAAACTGACTCACAAGTAAATCAACTGCTTGTCAGGAGAGGATTCAGCACTACAACACAAGAGCCAGCATCTAATCAACAGTTAACACACAGGCAGGTTAGTAGCAGCATGCAAGCTAGAGCTAGGAGAGAACAGTAGGCTCAGACAAAGGCTGAGATGATCTACAGAGAGTAGATAAGAATTTTAAAACAGCTACTGTCAATAAATTAAAGGGTTTAAAAGAAAATGTCATAATTAAGAGAAATATGAAAACAATAAAGAAGAATCAAGTGGTAATCTGAGAATCTAAAAGGTAATCTATGAAATAAAGAACTTACTGGAAGGCTTTGGACAAAACTGACACAGCGAAAGAGAAAAGTCAGAGGCTGAGAACTTTCTCAACTGAAGCACAGAGAGCACCAGAGCTGAGCAGAACGTGAGTGGCCCCTGAGGGACCCGGGGGACAATGTGCTCTGGTCTAAAACACATGCGATTTATGTCCCAGAAAGGGAAGGTTGACAGAAACAATATGAAGAAATCATGTCCCAAAACCCTCCTCATTTGATGGAAACCATAAATGCATACATCAAAGAAGTCTAAGAAATCACGAGCGGGATAAACTCAAGTCCACATCATGGCATACCAACTCAAACTGCTGAAAGCCAGTGAAAAAGACAAAATATTAGAAGCAGCCAGATGGGAAGTCGCATAACGAACCAGGATGGGCAGAAATGATAGATGCATCTTCGTTGAAAGAAAACGCCATCAAGCTGCAGCACTGCAGCTGGGAAAAAACCTTCGAAAACCTCAGTTGAAGTAAAGACATTCAGCAGCCTCCACTAAGACACATTAAAAAAACAAATGGAACATTCTTCCAGCAGAAAGAACACGATTCCTGTGGATTCTTAGGTTTGTACAGAAGAAAGCAGAGTGTCAGAAATGGCGAATATGTGGATGAATATTAAATATCTAAAAAAATCTTAATATTTAAAAGATAATTGACTATTTAAAAAATTGGGTGTGATGGTTGTGGTTGCTGAAAACAATGGTTGCAAAGATGGTAATGGCAAGTAAAAACATCTACACAGCACTGTGGAAGCTGTGGTCGCAGCTGGGCAGGCACATTGCTGTGGCAAGAAAATGCCCATGGGATTGTCGAGGGGCGGGGCGGGCATATGATGGGTTCTCTTCTTCCATTTTTATTTTACAAATCAGTTATTTTCCACTTAAAATAAGAAAAATTGCCATCGGGGGACTCTTGGCACCTCTTGGAGTCTGCTGGCGACTCCAGACACATGAGGGCCAGCAAGAATGCTCAGCCCCCGGCACCACGGCTCCCACAGGTGGTGATGGTGCAGAGGCTCCGGGGGGCCTACCTAGCTTCGATTTGGGACTACTGTCTTGTTGGCTGTAACCTGAACCTTCCTGGGAGGACGGATGGCCCAGGCCACCTCTGTTGGTCCATAATCTCACTCACTTATGGTGAATAAGGGGGTTTGGTGGTGGCCATGCATGCAGACCTGACCAGGATTCTAGGTGAGCTACAGACTCCCTCAGGAAAGAGGGTCCAGCTGCTCAGCACAGGCAAAGCTGGGACCTGCGTGAGGTCTTCTTCAGCCTTTGAAAGACAGAATTGGAAAAACAACCAGTCCCCCCACACCGCCCCCCATGTAAGCACAAGAGAGAGGCCCGCCATATCCCTACAGCCCTTGTACTTCCAGCTTAGCTCTGCCTGATGCTGTGGTAGACACGGGCCTGGGCCACACAAGCGAGGACACGCAGGGCAGCCTGGGTCATATGAGTGGGGACACACAGCGTAGCCTGGGCCACATGTGCGAGGACACAGCACACCCTGGGCCGAGACACCTCCCGAGTTAAGCCTTCTTCCTGAGGTACCAAGTGGCATTGCTGTCCATTCGGCACCATTATCTTGATGTATAGTGGCTTTGAATCCATGCTCGGTGCCACCAGTCCTGCTTCCTGAGGAAGTCATGTCAGTCCAGCCTCTGCCCTCTGCCTGGTGGCCTTCAGATCCAGCTCAGACTTGGGTGCAGAAGCCATGCGAAGCTGGTCCTAGGGTCATTTCTCTGTACAGCTGCAAGAGCGCTAGCCCTACCTGATGTCTGGTCATGCCCATAATCCAGAACATTCTGGTATGACAGGATTCTGGAGGCCTGACAGTTTTATCTGGGTGAGGACTCGGGAGTGCACTCCAAAAGGCCACCAATTGGCCCTGTGGCCCTAAATGACATCTGGCCTTCTTGGGGTTCCTGCCTTAGGGGGTCTAGGAGAGGCCCCTGGAACAAGCATACTCTTCAAAGGCCCCCCCCCCCAAGTCATTCTAATGTGAGCCCAGCTGGGTGGCCCTGACCCAGAGAGCTAGGGTTCAACAGGGTACAGTTTTTGGGATGAAACCTTGTTTCCAGTAAAGCAGCAGAAGCCCTGAGAATTCAAGAAAGTTGCCTCATGGGCATGTCATGCAGCCGTGCTCAGAGCTTGTCAGGCACACACTGGCTGTGTGTCCCTACTTTTTCTGTCCCATCCATCTGGGTGACAATGTTTTTAATAAGAAAAGTGGAGTCTGGCATCATGTGCATGGCCCCTGTGTGCTGACGGGGTCTGATCTTAGCATTGCTGCAGTGTCTCATCTGAAGGAAAGGAAGCGATCGTACTGTCCATCTGTGTATACACCGTCCAGCGGAGCCTCAACTGTGCCCGCGGCGCACCATGCGGCCTGCAGGAGACCTGACTGAGGTGCTGGTCCCTGTGAGATGCACTGGGGTGACCAGAGCCGGACAAGCAGGAAGATGAGTGGTGAGATCTGGAATCTCAGGCACAGGAGACACGGCAGCAGATGTTCTAGGATGATGCAACATGACCCCGTGGAGGGAGAGATGGGTTTTTGGAACCCCCTGCTGGGCTCTTAGCTTGCACTGCCTCAAAGAGGACACATGCATGCTCAAAGGAGACTTTCTGCAGCCAGGAGCCCCAGAGCAGGTATCCTGTGACCCCAGTCTGGGCGAGGCACTCAGGGCTGTGGGTGGAGCAGCTCTCCGTGCCCAAAACTGTGGGGATGGATCCACTATTAGATGTCCCCAGGACTCTAGCAATGTCACAGAGATTAGAAAGAGCAGATTATGGTGGGAGGTGGAGGAGAATCTGGCCTGGGATCCAAGAAAAGTCTCTGCACCGACCAGGAGCCCTTCGCCTGGCGAACGGCCATCTGCGCTAGGCCAGGATGTCCTCCCAGCCCCACAGTGGAAGCCGACAGCTGCCCCCTCCAGGGTCTCTCCCTCAGGCTTGCGGCTTGATGGTAGGGCAGCGCTCTGAGGCTGGGGTGGTGTGACTTTCTTGTCACTTCTCATGTGCACTTCTCCAAGCAGACAGTGGACCCATGGCCTTGCAGAACCCTCTGGAACAGCTGTGTAAGCTGAGTGTGGGAGGAGGTAAGATGCTCACATCCTCAACCCTCTCCTGAGGGAATGAATGGAAACAAACAGGAACAGAGATGCCTTTTGAGGTTGTGCGCGCAGAGATAGAAACGCAGCCTGTCAGGGCAATTCGTAAACCCATGGGGTGCACCTAACACAGGCCACTCCCCAAAGTAACTGGCACATCCAGTGTAGGAGTGCCCCTGGCTGCTGGCAAGGGTCACAGGCCAGCCAGGGCTCTGTCCTCCAGCCAACTCCAGTCAGTTTATGGATAATCTGTGGTACATCTAGACAATGGAATATCATTCAGCAAGGAAAAGAAATGAGCTCTCGAGTCACAAAAAGACATGAGGAATCTCAGATGCATATTACTAAGTAAAGAAGCCAGCCTGAAAGCTTCCATCCTGGATGCTTCCAACTACATGACATTCTGCAAAAGGCAAAACTGTGGAGACAGTAAATAGACCAGTGTTTGCCCGGGGTTGGCGGGGAGAGGGAAAAATGAATCTGGACAGCACAGAAGATTTTTAGGCCAGTGACGGTGCTCTCTGTATGATACTATGATGGTGGATGCACTGTACTTTGTCCAAACCCATAAAAAGGTCAACACTCAGAGTAAACAGCAGTGTAAACTATGGACTTTAGTTATTAATAAAGTATCAATGTTGGCTCCTCAGTTATAACAAATATACTACAAGATGTTCATGATGGGGAAACTGTGTGTGGCGGGGGGCGGATAAAGGAACCCTCTAGACTCTGCTCAGTTTTCTGTAAATCTGAAACTTCTAGCAGTCTATGAATTAAAAGCAAAACAAAATAGGACTAAAATACTAAGGCAGTGAAAGCTGGTGAGCGAGTAGGGACAGTGACAGTTATAGCATTCTTAGGCCTGAGGCCCATCATGGCAGCAAAGATGGGGGTCAAATTTAGATTTTCAGTCAGTTAACTAAGCATGTACTCACTTGAAAGAAGCAGAGGAAAGTAAAAGAATGAGAAAGAATGAGAAAGAAAAGGGACAAAAAAGAAACAAAGATGTGTAAATAAACCCAAAGACGTCATTTGAGATATACGGACTTATTATGTAAAGGAGAATGAGTGTCAGCCTCAGTTTGAAAAGAATCCTGCTCTGTGCTGTTACAAGAGCCACACTGGAGGAAAAGACACAGGTCAAAAAGAGAAGGTGACAAATAAGAGACATAAGAGAAACATAAGAGAACATTATGACTTTTTTTTTTCGTGGCCAATAAATTTGAAAAAAGATGAAATGGACAAATTCCCAAGAAAATGTTTGCCACCAAAACTGCCTCCAGAAGAAATGGAAACCCTGCAAGTCCAACAGCCACGAAAGGTGTTAATCAGTGGTCACGGAGACCCCGCAAGGCCAGGTGGCTCACGCAGGAGCGCTGTCTCTGTCCTCATGAACTCATTCAGAAAAGGGAGCCCGCCCTTGATGAGTTCCATGAGCAGAACCAGGCAAGGCCAGTGCAGGACGGAAAATTGTAGACGAATCTTATTCATTGACAACCACGCAAAATCCAAAACAAAATATTAGCAAATCATATCCGATATACACAGCATGACCAAACTGAGTTTCTCTTAGGAACGTAAAACTGGTTCAACATTAGCAGTATTAATGCAATTTACCACATTAACAGGTTAAAGGGAAAAAAAGCGACCTCCTCACACACCTGGTAGAGAAAAAACAATTTGTTAAAATCCAACATTCATTCATGAATAAAAATACCCAAAACAAAAATCACAAAACAGAACTTCCTAGTAAACTAGAAATAGAAGAGAACTTGATAAAGGTGGCCACAAAAACAAACCCACCAATCAACAGTCACATCCCACTAGGCCAGGGAGCATGTCCTCTGGAATCAGGGGAGGCCCCATACCTGCTGCCCATTGCACCTGTGACCTGGCACCACATGCAGACCCTGGACAACAAGGAAAAAAGACAGGAGCACGACTCCTGACGTCACATGGGCACCGCCATGACAGCATGCAGAGTTTATACGTGATGAAAACAATAAGCAGGACACAGACATTTAAAATCCCAACAGTGTTTTTCTTGGGAACTGACAAGTGATGTTCACATTCATGGGTGTTGGTGGTGACTAACCTGGAACAGGATCTGCAGGGCGCCATGGAGGATGCACATCCGCCGTCCGAGGAAGATGAAGAAGGGTACCACCAGCTCCAGGAAGTGGTTGCTGAGTGTCTCGAAGCGATGGACCCACCATGGGGAGCGGTGCAGGAAGTAGGCCACGGGGTTGGGCACCGGCTGTGTCTGTGGGACAGGAGGACACTGTGAGCTGAGAACCGAGCCCCAACCCACAGGGGACCCCAGCCTGCCCACCTGACCCTGCCCGTGTGGCGTCCACCGGCCAGTTTCAGAGGGTGGGGGGCTTTTCAGGAAAGGTAGTGTCTGGGACTAGCCTGGCTGGGAAATGCATGGGGGAGGCCGCTGCCATGGCCCTTCCTCCGGCAGCTCACACGCTGCCAAGATACGAGTTGCAGGGACAAGGACGATGGGGCCACATGTCTAGGCCTTCTCAGAGTGCATGTCAGGGTCACCTGTAATTCTGACACCGACCCCTTCAGGGGCCCTGAAGGCCCTGGCTACATGGGAGCTCAGATGCTGCGGGGAGAACCTGTGGACAGATCCCCGAGCAGCACTGGGCACTGGAGAGCCCCAGGAGGAGGACAGGTCACTGGGGGAGGGAGGAGGGAGCGTGGGAACCTGCCTCCGGCTGAAGCTCACATGTGCTTGCTTTCTGCTCTGATGATGAAGGCTGGGGGAACGGGGTCCTGGCTCCGGGTGTGTGTTCCTGGGAACACATGTGTTTTGGGCGGGCAGGCGCAGTGTGTCCCAGGAGGCCCGTGTGTTGACTCAGCCGTGGTGCTGGCTGTCCCAGAACCCACCTGACAGGCCCCGCACCTCCGACCACAAGGCCCTGTCCTCTGCCAGCCCCTCATCTGTAGCTGAGGCTGGGAACAGGCCATACGGAAGGTCACATGGCCATCCACATTCAGAGGAGCTGACTGAAGACGCTGTGTGGGGCCGTGTACATGCCCACTCACGAGGGTCTGGATGTGCCTAGAACTGGGCTTTACTGCCCCGTCAGGGAGGCCCCGTGTGACACCCAGTGGGAACAGGCCATACGGAAGGTCACATGGCCATCCATATTCAGAGGAGCTGACTGTGAAGACACTGTGTGGGGCCATGTACATGCCCACTCATGAAGGTCTGGACGTGCCTAGAACTGGGCTTTACTGCCCCATCAGGGAGGCCCCATGTGACACCCAGCCGTCGGTGAAGGACACGGGTCTCACTGTGCACAGGAGCCCCTCCACACTGACAGGACACGGGGCATCGGTGGCCCCAGACCTGGGTGGACCACTACATTTCCTCTAACATGAACTGGTTCGCTTCCACATCTTCGGATCGTGCTGTGATTCGTGAAGGGCGTCGGGGTACACTATGCCCACTTCCCCTCCCTTCCCTGGGCCTGGGCCTCGAGCCTCCTCATGCTGCCAAGCACATGCAGGCACCCTTCTCCCTCTTGGGACTTATGTTCTCCATGCACACACATACGCCCCCTGCGGACACAGAGGTGCCATGTGGGCAATGATGGCTACCGTTAGGGAAAGGCTGAGCCCAAAACACAAGTGGGTAGTAGTGCCAGCCTGGCTCCGATTTTGAAACTTAAAGACGTTCCTGATATAATTTCAATGGACTTTTCTTTGTCACACAAGCTTAAGTCCCAAAGGAAGAAAGTACCTCCTGCGGCTGCCACTGGAGTGCTGACCCCAGCCCCTTGTGACCTGCTCTTTGGCCACACAGCACCCCCCACCTCAGCTACATGGCCCCTCAGGCCCTGACCCGCCTCCCCCCACCCCCACCAGCATCAGGCATGGCTGCAGCCTGCTCTTCCCTCTGCCCCGGGCCTGGTTACTCTCAGACTTGCTATGGACACAAGGAAGTACCTGTCCTGCTGGACGCCTGTCACGCGATGGGCATGGCGAAGTGACTGCTGTACATGCGGAGAAACTGGTTAAGGCGTGCTAGCCGGGGTGCCCTGAGTGTGGACCTCCCACCTGACATTCACGGTGGTAGGAATGGATGAGGGGCTGTGGTAGGAAGTCACGAAAACAGCAGCTGCCCGGCCGTCTACCCCACAGCTCAGAGGCAGGACGGGTGCTAGGGAAGGGCTGCCGTCCCATCTGGGAGGACAGGTTACCAGGGGGCCAGGGTGGAACTATGCAGCCTGTCTTCCTGCTAACTTTCCATTTGGACACGATTTCCAGCTTATGGCAGGGATTAGTAGTCTGCCATGACGAAGTAACCGCTTGAGCTAAAGCCGACCCATGATTTCCGACTTAGAGAAAAGTTACAATAGTTAAAAAAAAAAAACAACAACCCTGAATGTCCCAAATGTTTCCATTTTACCACCCCTTCCTCCTTTTCTGCCACTGCACCGTTTGAGAGTCAGCTGAAACGTGCCCGCCACCTAAGCACTTCAGTGCGAATTTCCCAAAAGAAGGGTGTTCTCTCACGTAGCATGGCAGCGATCACAGGATGCTCCCCTGTCTGTCACCTGTGGGCCTTACTCAGATTCCTCCAGCTGTCCGGATAATGTCTTTTAAATAAAAGGAAATCCTGGATCACACATTGCCTTCAGCTCCCATGTCTCTCTAGTCCCCTGACCTGAGTGTTTGTTAGGCCATTGACATTTTAGAGTACATGCTCTTTTGCAGGATGTCCCTCAGCGTGGGTGTGGCTGATGTTCCTCATGGCAGACTGGGGCACGCACTTGTGGCAGGAAGACCCAGTGGTGACAGGTGACCTTCCCGTGAGCCCAGGGTGGTGATGTGTCTTAGCATGGGCAGTTTCTACCTGGAACTCTTGGTTAAGGGGTGTTGGCCAGGGTCCTCCTCTGCAAAGCTACTGTTTTCCCCTCGGTTCGAGACTATGAAAAGAACCTGTTACATCCAAATGTCCCAGTTTCTGCACCCATTGATGATTCTTGCCGGAGTCAGAGGTTCTGATGGCATCTGAATGGTGACTTCTGTGTCCACCATTCCTTTGCATGGCATTCCACTGTAAGGAGAGGCTGTTCTGCTTCTCCGTGTATTTCCTGGTGCTGGTGTAGACACATGGGCTATTTTATTCAATGGGGTATAATCCTTCACTATCATGTGTTTTGATGGTCTATACCGTTTTCTGAGCATTTTCCTACTTTCTGGCTCTAAAGATTCTCCGGGGGTCATCTGAACCCCTTCCTGCCCAGCCCTGAGTGCAATCATTTCTCCTAGGAGCCAGGTCCCTCTGATTGAGGCTGGACTCAGCCTGGCCTGGGTATCACTGTCTTTGGGCCACTCAGTGGGCAGAGTTGGGAACCAGACGAGTGACTACGTCTCACCTGCTCTTGCATCTGTGCCAATGTAGCTCAACAATCTCTTCATTTACCTGTGTTCTAAGTGGGTTTCTACAGCTCTGGGGAGCACACAGCAGGCCTTGCCTTATCTTTGCCCTAGGGACTCACAGCAATTAACCCTGTTCCCACTTGAGAACGTGGAGGGAGTGTCAGATGGAGAAGCAGGCTCCTCTAAGGAAGGGGGTACAGGGCTGTGGGAGAAAAGACACAGGGGTAGGGGACAAGCAAGACAATCAGGGGTCTTCCTGCTCATAGGCCGTGTTGGATTTGTCACACACCAGGTAATGCCTAAGCAGAGTGAAACCCCCACCGTCCTAAAGTTGCAGATATTCTGGTGGTTAGCAGCCATTTCATTCAACAACAAAAAAAGGATATCAAAATCAGTTCCAAATGTTTCAGCTTTTTTAAAAACAGCAAAGTTTTTTCTGGATATGGTGTGTATGTACATACACAAGTGCTGTACACACGAGTGTGCGTGTGTCAGCCCACACCCCAAGGTGTCCGTGGCCCTGGACAGGAATGTGTACCAGGCGCCCAGCGTCTGGGCCGGAGCTATGTCGACGGGGCCAGCGTGACCACAAAATGAGTCTGCCCGGCGTGCAGGCTGCGGGCAGGCCCCCCCGCAGGAGCCGTCATGAGAGAGGACCCTGTTACACGGGCTTGTTCTCTGCTAGTAGTGCCTGGAAGAATGCCCAAACGGGCAAATGGTGACAGGACAACCACGCCTTGTTTCCCCCAAGTCAGGACGAGCCCCTCGGTTACATTTTAGAGTCCAATTTCAGAAAGTGGCCTGGCCTCAGGCCAACTCTTGGTGGTGCCGCAGGTAAGGGCAGCACGCCGCTCAGCCCTGTTTCTGGCAGAGGGACAGCTGGCCCTGCACACTTCTCAGAGCTGAAGGCCTTGCTTTTACCAACAGTCCTAGCCAGCCAGGGAAAATGAGTTTTGACAAGATGGCTGCGCCCTATCCACAGTCAAGGGAGGCTGAAGTGGAAGTCCCCTGCCCCCGGCTGCCCCGTGGGCTCCTGTCATTAACAAACTCTGTAAGCGAAGGCATCGTAAAGCAGGCGGGATGGTGTGACAATGCATCCACGGCCACGTTAGTGTTGTCACCGCTCAAGGCTGAGCTGGCCCTAATCCACTTACTGGGTGGAGTGGATTCCCTGAGTTCCACCTGTGGGACCATGGCTGGCCCAGGTCTTAAGCAGTAAGGGGAGGGTCCGAGGACCTTGTCTTCTCACTGCCTAGGCCCTGCGTTGAAAAGGGCACCATATTCCTTGGCCAGAGAGACTGAATTTTATAAATCTAGTCCAAGACTGGCCTGAGGACAGGCATCACCCACATGAAGGCAAGGAGCTTCGCTGGCTTAGAGGCGGGGTGTGGGGGTCACACTACACAGAGATGGGGGCCTGGGGCTGAGAGTGGCCCCAGCTGCCAGCCAGCAGGGAAATGCAGACTTTGAGCAAAACATGCTCCCAACAGTTCCGTTTGTCTCCCCTCTCCCTCCCCAGTCCTGGAGATGCCTGCAGGGACAGCCATGGGCAGGCTGGGGCCTGGGCAAGGTCCTGCTTGGTCCTGGGCCCAGAAGTGGTGGGCTGGACGTGTGCAGGGCCTACCTGCCCGCACTGCCATTGGGCCTTATTTTGTCTCTCCTGAGGGTTCTGCTATGCTGTGTCCCCTAGCCCTCCAGCACCAGCACCAAGATGTGAACTGGATGTCAGAGCCCCTTTCCCAGAGGTGGCAGGCATGTGGGCAGGGCTCCCTTGGCACCTGCTAGCTCAGTGCGCTGCACAGCCCCTGGACACGGCCTCCCTGTTCACTGTCACCTGGCGCTGACTGCCTCCGGGGTCCC